CTGTGTGACGAGAGACGGAGATAGAAACTGTATATGTTTGCAGAATGGCCAAAGTTCTGGAGTGCTCGTGGACATGTCAAAGGATTCTAACCTGTTTTATGTGAACATGCTAAAAACTATAAAAGCAAAAAAAAAAATACACGCAGTTTCAGAGAGCTTCCCGTGCGCGCCTAGAACGATCGTATTTTCAAGTGAACTACTTGATTGTCTGACGGATTATCGGGTGAAGTCACTGTGTTTCAGTGACGATTGTCTGGTCACAGTCAATGTCCGCAACAACGCAAGGAGCTGCACCAAGTTTAGTTGTAGACGCTGGAAATAAAATGCACGTTTGAATAAGAGCTAATAATTTGCAGAAAAGGTCAAGTAGCTTCAATAGAAGTGGTTAACCTCGCAAAACACCAATTATTTCAGGGTTTGTAAACGCTTTAAAGAACAGGGAAACCTAAGTGCGATCGAAATCTCAGCTAAGATATGCTTTGCTGAACGAGTACAAGAAGTTAAACTGCAGCGTAACCTGCGCACTTTCGTAGAAGCGGAATGCGAGTGCCCAGGGGAAAAGACAAAATATATCGAATTTATAAAAAAAAAAAAAAGAAATGAACCAGGCCGAACAAAAGCGCTACAGTTGCGCAAGTAAATAATCAAAGTTGTAAACGTTTTTTTTTTTTGGCGAACAATTGTCTAATAATGCTTTTCCAGATAAAAAAAAAAAAAAAAAACACGCGTTGGAGAAAGAAATTGCAGATATATACCATGGTGAAACCACTTGAAGTGAACGCGAGGGAACAGAGCAAAATGTAGTGGAAACATATCGCAAGCTATTCGGTTATACCAGTCGACCTATGCTTCATTTCAGCTTACGTCCAGACGCAGCCGACGTTACGAGGTAATCGGACCCTTCACGCAGCGTCAATAACCCAATTCACAAGGTCATTTCTTTGTATGATTGCGTCAGTGATAATAGAACACGTACGGGTACATGCCGAGCAGCATGATGGTGCGTTTTGTACGCATTCTGATGGGTCCCGTCAACTTCTAGCTTCGGCTGTGCCTGGACTTCAGGCGAAATGAAGTATAGTCGCTTCCGAGACATGGAAGAGCTGATAGCACGGTTACCTCGGCTCTCCGACGAAACAAGTGATTTTCTAAACGAACCAATCGCCCTTAACGAATTCGAAAAGGTCATAGACGAATTTGCTACAGCCAAGTCCCCAGGGCTGGTCGGGGTAACCACACAATTTTATAATAATTTCAGACCCTCAATATTTATGTTTCTATTGAATATATTTCAAGAAGCATTCAAAGTGAATGCATTGTCTTTTTCGTTTTAGGAAGTGCAGACGGTACTCATTGCCAAGTCAGAGGAGGTGTCTAAGCTCGGATATGTTTCTCACTACCGTCCAATCACGCAATGTAACGTGGACTACAAAACTGTTGCCATAGTTTTAACTACAAGCGAACCTGCGGGAGAGCACGAGACATGTTGGGTAAAGTGGCGCACCATCCAAACAAATGTACATGTTGCACGATGCGTACTAGACCATTGTTGTCAAGGGGTTGTCCAAGTAGCGGTGTTCCAGACTGACTGAAAAATGCTTTCGACAACGTCACCCCCGAAATACTTTTTTTAAATTTTATTTCATGTAAATGTTGGGACACTTCTTAAACATCCTGTACGGGATGTGTAACAAGTTTGAACATTAACAACAATGTTACTCGTTCCATTCCTGCACGTTTCTCTCTGAGGTAGTGGTGCTCCTTATAACGTTTGCGTTATATTTCGAACCATTTTGTTTGATTGTACTAACGAAGGAACATATGCGCGGTGTAGCTTTAGAAGCAACTGAGGTAAAGTTTTCGGAATGCGGAAATGATGTTGCTGTATTTTGCGAACGCAAAAGGAGCGCCACAAAGGCTGTGTCACTAGTCAAGGAAATTTGTGATGTCAGCAGAAATTCAGTTAACTGCAGCGGATTTGGCATGGTGCGTGAGCCACTGCGCCTTCGGAATATGAATCTCTACTGTGGAGCTTCACGCCCTCTAAATGCCTCGGCGTACCTTTGCAAGATTTTAAAAACAGCAAAGTGTTCTGGTCGGGGGTCGCGACCGAACTAAACAGCCGGGCTTCACGCTGGAAGCACTGAGACGTGTCAATTTTTACGAGAGCAGCAGCATGTGACATGTTTTTGATCGCCAAACTCTAATATGTTGAACAGGTTGTGCATTGTGCGCGTACTAACATAAAAAAAACGTTCATAGGATATTTGCTGTATTTATGTGGAAGTCGGCTTGGGAGCCAATTGACGAGAGATCACCTTTTTCAACGCGTGAAAAAAGGGGTCTAGGCCTTTTCTCGTTTGTTCGTGCGCCATCTAATGCCAACGTTTTTTTTTTTTTTTTATACTTGATTAAGTGCATCTGTTCCTTCGAGTGGTAATTTGAACAAAAAGGTTGCATAAACTTCATCTTTGACTCTGTCTAGCGAGAGCACCATCCAAAGTGTGTGGGTTTCTCAAAAAAGTGGTTGTCAAAGTGACCTTTCTCTGTCCAGTTTTCGCTTGAATATTTGTCTGAGGTCAGCTAAAAAAGGCTGTCACGCGACCTTACTAAAACACTGCCTCCAGTTTAGTTATTTCGTGTTTTTTTTCTGCGTGTCAGGGTTAGAGTGTACTGTAACGAGTAAATCGAATGATCGTGCCACCTACGGTGAAGTATTTTTCTTTTAAACCGCATAGTTTCCCGCTTCCTGTGAAGGCGTGGCTAAATTATAAGAATTTTATTGTTTTATGGACGATCAACTCTTTGTTGTTTAAGCAATCAGAGCGTTTGACCATGTCTTTGTATTTTGTTGGGATGCCCAATTATTCTAACACAAGCTACAATGAATTTTGAAAAAGAAAAACCTTTCTTTATCACCCTTTACCAAATATGCTTTCTAGACCAGGGGTGGCCAAGCTGACCCGGCCTCAGAGTCGCAAAGGAAGCCACGAAACTTCTAAGGGCCGCCGAAAGGGGGGGCAAAACAAACGCCGCTGCCTGGTTATCCCCCCCCCCCCCCCCTCCCCCGAAAGCATAAAAAAGCAGCTTGCAGGTCGGAACTGCAAGTTGGTAAACATAGCAATGAAAAGGTTCCTGGTTCTTTGTGAACTTCAATATAACGTCTGTGACTAGTGGAAGCTATGATAAACCCGGGCTTCCGTGACCTTCAACAAGAAACAAAATGGAGGGAACATCTGTTACCTAAAGGGGACAAGTATCACCGGCGAATGACAAAGGCCGCGAGACAGATCCTTTCCTCGACCCCAAGCCAAAGTGCATACATGTTTTGACAGTCCCTGTCCTCTCGAGCAATGGAAGAAGCTGTACTTCATTCTGAAATCCTTCCCTTCTTTCCTGGAGAAACGCCAAAAGGGGGGGAGGGGGGGGGGGGGGGGGGCTCATTACGGGGGATCCGCGAGCCGCACCACGTCCAGCGAAGAGCCGCATGCGTCTCGCGAGCCGCGGTTTGGACAACCTTGTTCTAGACATTCAAAAAAAAAAAAAAAAAAAACTTTGCGTCCTATGACATGCTTTTTTTTTGGGACTGTTTAGTGTTTGCAATCGCAGATAGCAGTCAGGAATGTAGTCTTTAATGCCAAAGGATGTGTACTTGTATTTTGTTAAATTTGTCGCGCATGTTGAAAATGTTTACAGCTTATTAATACTTTAAGTGAACTTGAAGCGGAGTTCATTGCGGCGTAAGGCTTGCACCCATTTTAATGTGAAAGCATTAACGGTCTCATTGAGCGAAGCCGGCGGCGTCTGTAGCCGTTCTCTGTAGCAGCGAAAAACGACACTTAAATGCCCATTGGTTGAGCGGAACGGCATTCAAAGTACCAATGGCTGCGACGCGTCATATCAGATGCTTTGTCACGAAAGCCGACGAGGCCGCTCGAGGTCAAAGCAAACGCGCCCTAGAAATAAAACAGAAAGAAAAGCACAGCAACGCCGATGCATCGTCATGGAAGCCGTAGAGCCGTTGAGACCGCCGCGCCTGAGTACTGGGGGAACGTGATGTCACCGCCGGACCGCCGTGTGAAGAATACGTGGCAAGCTACTTGTAGGAATGCGCTGCATGTACGCGAAATCCATTATTGTTTTGAAGTCTCATAATACCGGGCGGGGCGGTCCGCGTGGCGCACGGCCGTACTCCCTCCCTGCGCTGCGGCCGCTTCTGCGTCTCTTGACGCTGATAATGCTTTTGCTTTCGAAACTCATAAGAAATGCTTAGGCGCCCTCGGAATTGTTTTGAACAAGGCACTCTCTTAAAAGCGTTGAAGAGGGTCGTTCTTTACCAAAATGAAAGTGACAACGCATCCTGTGTGCTTCCTTTGTCGCCCAAACCAAGCAATAAAAATAGGCATCTGAACCGCAACCGAAGGGTCGAAGGTTCGAATCCCGCTTCCGCCTGAAATTCTTGAAATGTGTTTCTTTAAGGAAAATTAATGACTTTATGAAATGAAACCATTTGAGAGAAGCGGCGACATTTAATTCGCGTTACACATCATGTTTTAATCACTTTCATTCCACGCGTAATGTCACGTTTCACGTGAGCGCTGTGGGTTGTCTAAAATTCCCGCGAGAGGTCATGTGGCTGTGACGTCATGACCCTATCCACCAATCCTGGACTTTACTGTCCCGCCGACGCCGTCTTTTCTGCTGCACAACCTCCTTAAAACTATAGTTTTAATAACAGTTTGCGCGGTGGCACTGAGCATCATGAAACGTAATGGTCAGTGCTACAGTGCAAACGGTTTTCTAAACTATAAAGATATGTTCAGTATTGCGATTCGCTGACCGAATTAATGTTTTCCAGTTTCCCTCGAATGTGTTTCAAGGGGAACTGGAAGCTCCAAATTTTTTTATAGCCCGAAATGAGGCAGAATTTCATTTTTTAAATTCAGAATCATCGTATCACGCGAAACAGCCCAATACAAGCAAATAAGGAAACAACTCACGGTTCAGGTCCAAGGTGATGGAGCTGGAAGCCGGCACCGTGATGTTGTTGTTGGACGCCTGGCAGGTGAGGATGGCCAGCAGGTCGTTCCTCGTGATGGCGCCCACCTCCAGCTTGTTCTTCACCAGGGCCCCGTCGGGCGAGAAGAAGTAGGACTCGTCCAGCTGAGCGTAGTCCTTCCACCAGGTGACCGCGGGTCGCGGTTTGCCTGCGACCGCAGGTCGAAACAGCCCGGGGCTCAGTCGGGGCTGTTTAGCGGGAATCCGTCCCGCTTGGGCAGCGGCTAAACCTCCGCAACAGAAGGCCCCCTACTAAGTCTATCGATTTTGAGGGAGGCTAATGGAGGTCTCTAAGATTGCGGGCTGCGGTCATCCGAAGTAATCTGGTCCCTTCTTCGGGACGCGCTCCGCTGAAGCCTCGGTTCGGACTGTTTAGACTTGAGTGTAGACGACGGGGCTTTGTTCCCGCCTTCTAGCTGCTCTTCCTTCTATAGTGCAGTTCGCGGAATTAAACTTTGCTTTTTATCGTTTATCGTATACTTCCGCTAAACATTTATTCTCAGACAATTTCAGGATTCAGAGTTCTTACAGTTAGAATTTGCTTTTTAACCGTGGGAAAAAAAGGAACTAGGAACTAGATGTCACCTTAAAGTTTCAGTAGAGTTATTAGGATACTATTCAAAAATACGTTGCACAATCACACGTTTCTGCATTCTACTAGCATTGATTACCGATGAGTATTCCCAATAAAATGAGTCTGCTTAACTCTTAAATATAACTATCTATGCGTTTGAAATATTGAGCTGGAAAGAATTCTTTAAGCAACCCGGAGTTCCAAAATGAAGGAGGTAAAAAAAACGCAATATTTAGGGTATGAAGCCAAAAATGAATAACTCGAATTGAGCAAACCATATGATGATTACAAATATTGGGTTAGTTGGGACTTGACCAGATAATTATGAATGCTAGAAATGAAATAATAATGGTTTTAAAACTTGACGCCTGCTATATATAGCCAATACTTTTGGGAATATTGAGTCAACAAATGCTTTTCATCTTTGTAATTTGAAGACGCGAATACGCAACACCTAAAGAAGCAAAAATGTTTTGCCTCTGGAAATTTCGGTGTACAGGAAGAGCCACTCGCTTCACGTTCTTCAATACCTCTACGTATTCAGGCTGCGATCTGATACAGATACTCTTACACTGGTTCAAATAAAAGGTCAATACGAAGGGAATTCAAGGACAGGGGGATATTATATGTGGTGAAAGAGAATGCTGATGGTTCTGCGCCGCTCTAAGCGGACACGACGGCGCACCCAAGATACAGATACTTTACCCGAGAGAGAGATACATGATATAAGCTGGGATAAGTGTTTTGTTCTTTCGAACTGTCCAAAACTTTGTTGTGGCTGACAAAATTGACTGCCAAGGCAACGCAAAATACGTTTCTGTTCCGGGACCGTCTGTGCCGGTTGGGCGAGCAGCAGAGTTAGTTACATATAGGTTGGCAAAAGGAGTAATTTAACCTCTGACTTAACACTGCGCTTTGCTTAACAGACGCCGCGGACGTTCAGCGTATTTCGCACGAAAGCCGGGCTTTGATACCACTGCACCCTCTGCTAGAGGTATAGATGACGGTCTTCATTGCTCCGTTTGAAGGGAGACTGTGGGTAGAAACAAAGCCAGGTAGTCTTTACGTTTACTTGTTATTCTCCCAATGAGAGCACGGGAATCCGACGTCGCCGAATGTTTTTTGCAAGATTCTCCAAGATCTAATTCGGAAGGATAGTAAATAGACGTAAAGGCCATCTGCCGTTTTCTCTACACACTATCTGCCTCCAAGCAGCGAGGAAGGTTGTCGTCTGCTAGCACAGAGGGAACTGTGGCGTCAGGGCCCGGCGTTCGGACGCTGAACCCCATTATCTGGTGGCGTGTGCTGTTCGTAGTAATGGCTCTCATCTTTTTTTGTGGCTTTCGGAGATTCGTCAGTTCTTTACCAGCCAGGACCTACCCTGCACAGGAGGACGGAGAAAACACGCTGAAGGGATCGTTGTTTTTTGTCGACTGACAACTTGCAGAGGCGTTACAACGGACGAGGTTATCACGGCCGAAGCGTTATGTGCTCCAGACCGAGGCGGTCAGAGAAAGTCAGACTTGGTGGCTATCTCTATCCGCGAATGATTTCCACTTGCTTTTCACAAGCGCTCAGTATAACGGGACTCTCCCTGACCTCCCTGACATACCGACCAGTAGTGAGTATTGTTATTGGCTGCAGTGACGACGGAAGGTGCCAATAGATGAAGACGGTTTCCTGTCAACCCAGTTACGGAAATACTAATACTTAGTCACAAAGGAACAAATCAAAGTTTCGTTGTAAAATTACTCTCGAAACGATACACATTTGTGCCGGTTAGTGTCGCAACCGCGGCTACCTATCACATCACATCCATAATACTCCTATATCCGGGGGGTGTCACGCCAGAAAGGGCCGTTTGTATTTGGTAAATCATTGCATAAACGAGCAGAGCATTCACATTTAGCTCGAAACTATACTTACGCAGTCACGTCAATATCTTGGAAATCGTTAAGTGAGTCAACATTGGCTTTGACGAAAGTGATCTCTTCGAGAAACGCGGTCTCGCGTATATTTATGTAGCTCTTTCGTCGCACGAACTTGTTGGAAGGAACGCGTAGCTGACTTCGTCATCTCTTTGAACAGCTAGCAGAGGAAACACAAACATATTGCCAGCTGACGTGCGGCAGCAAGCCAAGGGAAGAATAAGTGTGCTGGCTAGAATGTTATGAGATAAAAGTTCACATATTTAGATATTGAACAGAAGAATTGTTGTTGGCAGTGTGCATTCGTGTAATCATCACTGAAATGAAGCACTTTAAGGGGCCTGCTTAGAATAAAGGGAGACCCCGAAGGTCAACAGCCATTTTGACTTTAATGTTGGTCCTGTGACGTGAGCACGCAATCTTGTCAGGGAACATTCCTTACATTTTTTTTTTTACGAAATATTTTCGCTCTGATTAGCTAACAGCGCAAAAAGTAATTATACTTTGAATGTTCTCAAAAAACTTTGGCCGGTAACCTAGCCTTACGCAGTTCACAATAAAGAAGCCTCCGAAACCATGCACGATTTTTGTATTGGCTGTAACGCAGGCACGTGGCAATATTTTGCGTCCATAGCCTCTTCCAACCTAATATCTGCAGGTGAAGCCCCGTTTCCAGCACGTGATCGTTGCAATCCGGCGTGTTTTGACTGCACGTTATCCCGAAATACCAAAGAGTTGTCAAAATCAGAAAGCTAGTTCTAAAGGTAGAGCTTCCCCTTCAGATCTTGAATTCCGACATACTATTAATCTTGAGGAAACCGCCTGTTTCCTCGATTATTTTCTGGAACAAGCGAATTCAGGACGTGAGAGTCGTCGTTTTGGGCAACACGCAGATACGTGAGGAGACCAGACGGCCCTCATGGACAGCTGTCCCTCTTCCTTCAGGGGGAAACTGCCACGGGCCCACTGCGGGAACAATCGACTACTTGGGCGAGACAGCATCTACGGGTTAAACCTACTACGACGCCCGAGACAGGTTAATCTCCCGCAGGCTACTTAAGCCGGCCCAAGAGAGCGGCCGGGGCTCTTGTCGCGTGGCGGCAAAGCTCCACGGAGCTTCTTTTTTTAAATTTTAATAAGCATCACCAATACCTCGGACGCTTATGAAATGCAAAACGTGTTGGCGTATTGAGTCAATAATAAAAACAAAATATTTTACGGACTCACTCTGTTCCTGCTTGTTGTTCCCAAGAGTCCCACATGGCTGTCATTCAATAAATCCGGCAGTAGCCGTCTAAATACCAAACCACGGAGCGGGTTTTATAAAGTGTTGTTTTTCTTTACCAGAGAAATTCATAAGCTTCTCGACGAAACGCACACAACTCTACATTAGCTGCACGTGCAGGGCTGTCGCTCGTCATGTTATGTCTTTTTTACCATTCCTGTTGCCTTTGCCTGAACCGTAGTTAAGATATTCTTTTCGCCCTCTCCTTATTAGCTTAACAAACAGCTAAAAGAAGTGTTATGTAACAAATTATTTCTGTTTTGCTTTATTATTTTTATTTTTGTTTTCGCAAAGGCACCCATACTGCAGAAGCTACAACCACCCCATGTCAGTGACCCCTGTGCCTAGGTGTAGACTTCGGGCGTTTTTCCGTTCGTATCCACCTATCTTCCAAATCTTGCAATCGCACTCCCCCTATTCCAAACCTTATATATATATATATATATATTTTTTTTTTTTGTGTACGGGAACGAGAGGTTGCCCCTACCAAGCTTGTTCTCTTTACAAAATGCTGGCCGTCGCTCTGAGGCTCCCAGAGTACCTTTTTTTTTAAGGACTAGACTGTTGCACTGGCTTTGACACGGACTAAGATTCACGAAAGCGAATGCGATGCCTCTGACGATTTCGATTGCCGATTGAGAAAGGGGAATATTCCTTGTGTTTTCATGTAGTATATGCATTTTAGTATATTAAAACATGCCGATTATGTTTTAATCATGTAACCTTAACTTAACTGCTACCAAGAGCACACATATATTTATGTAAGGCCGTTAGATGTAGTCGTTTTACTGAACTGAATCGGTACTTCCAGGAAATAAATGAGTAAAACCTGTCACTATCCCTTTGCCATCGCGTCACGTTAATTCCACATCTCAATGGGGGCTGGTCCGGTCCGCCTCAATACTTGGGGCGTACCGAAACGGGGAACGTCTTACCGACATCCACTTGGCAGGTGAGTTGGAGCGGGTCTCCTTCGTTGAACGGACCCACCAGTCCCTGCAACTGCTTGCCGTCTTCGTCCAGGATGACAGGCTCACCCGGAGGAACTGCCACAGAAAAGAGAGAGAGAGAAAAAAAGAAAAAAAAAGAGAACGACTTAATTACTGAAGAAACTCGGACCTTCTTTCGTCGAGAGCGGAGCCCATTGTTGTCCGGGCCCAAGGTCCTCGCGGCTCTAGTGGTTCAATTAGCGAGAAAAAAGCTCTCACAGAAACGTCCAGCGCTTCAAGCGGGAGTATACGTGCAATACAAGCTAAAAAGAGTGCAAAGCAGACATCCGAGTGCTGCACCCGGGCACGGTCGCATTTGGAAATCAGCGTGCTGAAGAGAAACGCGGGCGTTCCTTTGAAAATCGGGAAGATGCACTCGTGGCGGGGAACCAGAAAGTAGAGCAATGTCCCGCGAAAGGTTTGAGTTTGATTGAAAAAAGTAGGTTGCTTGCACGCGCTGGGAAAACGACATGCACAAGAATTGATTTGATAGGTTTGAAATAAATAGAAGGACCAGGCCTGGGGACTAGACAAAACATAATAGGAAAAATCAATGAGGAGAAGCAATAAGTATAGCCTGAAATAAGATCACAGGTATACGAACATCATTTGCAATAAAGTATGCAATACATTTAATGAACGAGTATTATTTGAATGTCAGCTGGAAATTTTTTGATCTCATATTCATGGGACCATGCATAGTGTCAGCTGCACCTTCATCGTGTTGTTTTTACGATAGTATCATTTGCTGCTTCACAACACCTAGCCGTTGCCTTTGACTTAAGAAGGCGGAAAAGAAACTTGATTATTGGTTCCGAAGTAGATGGAGTTACTAATTAAACTGTAAATTGACACTTTGTGGATCAAGCGTGGTTTCAACACGCTTTGAACGTGATCGTGTAATAGAATATTATAATAAGGATCAGTATATTTTAGCCATCTGCACATATATATATATATATATATATATATATATATCTTGGGAATTTGTCGATAATGATGAGATAATCGTGAGTGAGAACTTCCGTTGCCACCGGCTCCTAAAGGCGAAATAAATACCTTGCTAATTTTTTTTTTGTAAGCAAATTTTTTTTTTTTTTTGTCTTCACAATTATTTTCAGTCAGTATTCTGGTAGCCAATATCGTCGTAGCCTCCTGAAGTCCCTGAACTGAATCAGTTTGGTTAGTCTGCAGAACTTCGTGAATCCGCTCAATATGTGGAGTGAGTTTAGTCACCGGTAATAGGTATAGGATAGCAGATCTATACTTAAGGAATGCCACTGGCATGCATGAATTTTGAAGAATCCAATTCTTTAGACCTCTTTTTTATCGCGGCAGGTCCCCCTTGCAAAGGCTATATCACTTATTTCTTATTTCAGGGTCGTCTTAAATAATTTGTCTTATGAAACAAACTTTGTAGATTTGATCATATGCTTGTGAGTCGAATGAATACGTTTTTAAGTTTTGGTGTTCTAAATACATTATTTAAATAACAATGACCCGCTCATTCTGCTCTAAGGCTACGCGGTTATCCCAGCAACGCGTGTCGCCGTTTCGTTTTTCAATCGTTATAGTATTTGGTTTTATTCATTTTACGGGTGCCCTGCAGCATTAACAGGCCCATATAAATTTGCATGTTTGAAAGATAGGCTTTCAGAAATATAATTTACTTTGAAAATCGAAAGGACGGATTTGGCTCCCCGGTTTGTGAAGTGTGTGTTATTTATTAGAAGTTTTACATCGAAAGTAGCGTCGAAATGTTTCATGAGCCTTTAAAGCATACAGTGGAAGCCTTCTAGCCATATTTAGCGTGTTAGTGTGAGGTATGTATCTGAGTAGCAGTCAAGATATGCGAAGTGCTTGAGCCTACTTTTTAAATATATTAAAATGTTTCAAAATTCACTTACGAGCACAATGCATGACTGGTAAAGTATTCCATCGGAGTTCTACAAAAAAAAATATAGTAGCTGTGTTCCGTTTCAGCTTTAATGATAAGACAGTCACCCCAACTTTATTCTGATGATCATATGAATCGTAAAACAGCTTAGCTTCTTTTCGAGTCGTATAATATGAGCAGCTCTATTAAATGGATATTCTAAATATACTTATCTGATGTTTTCTTGAGATATTCTTTTACTCAACCCTGGTTGACCTTGTGTGCAGTATATAAGTGCCAGAAAACAGCAAAAAAACTCGGATATGTCGCAGTAACACTAAGAGCCCTGTTGCACTTTTAAGCCGCTTATGTACTGGAACCTGCATTCAAGTCAGTAAATAAGATAACAAGGATTTCGAGACGAGAGCAGTGGCACTGCATATGAAAACATATTGAGAACAGCAAAAACCAATATGATGGAGACAATTCAACTAAGAGCCCTTCCTTGTATTTATTAATGTCATTTTCATAATCCAATAAAGGCCCTCTAGAGGGTAGCACATAAAATTTGTGTGTGTAGGGGGGGGGGGGGGGGGAGGGGCAGGGCTGTATTGTAAAATTTCATGGAGTTTATACGTACGTTGCGTAGAATACACAAAGAAAAGTATAAATGTGTAAACACTGAAATTATTAGTTCATTAGCGTACCCCTTTTATTGCTTCATGGTGATCATTTCCACGGTGTTGTGTGTGAAACATAAAGTGTTCTTCCTTTCAGAGGTTTGACATTCACGAAATCACATCAGCGTTCTGGAAGTGAGGAACTATTGCATTATTCGCAACAGTATCAAATGTCCAAAATGTTCCAGTCATATCTACGAAGGGAGCAGTTCTCTGCTTACTTGTGCTTTCGTTTCTTCTACGTCAGACACTATAGTCAGAATGTAATAGACGCGTACTCCGCTACTACCTCGACAAAATCTGATCGATTTAAAAAAAAAAAAAAGATAGCTTCGTTCTCACGGTCTTACTCAATTTGCGTAAGTACCACTTTGCTCAACACTTCAGCGAAGCCCCCGAAATATACTAGAATCCAAGTGGTTATCTTCAATGTACAATCTGAATGTCAGTCACGCTGCTCCGACACAGCCACCATCCTTCGTGACAATGCGCGCGCCTCAGTCGCTATTTGAACGCACCACGAGGCGATTCGTACCACGGCACTTCGAGTCGGAGGCACCGAAGTTTGCATTTAACCTTGTAAGTTGACTTCTTCAACCCGTTTAATTTAGAAGACATGTCAGGCACACAAATACAATTTTTAGAGGATGGGATAGTAATTAAGCAAAGCTGCATCATGCGCCCACTTGAAACGACCATTCATAAAAACCAAAGTGTGGCGAATTAATTCATCATTGTTCCACAAAATATCCCCTCAACGAAGGAAAGAAACTAAAGCAAAATGAGCGAAGTTAATAAAAATTGATACCCCGAAAAACAAGTGTTCATAAACATTGCAAAAAAAAAAAAAAGAAAAAAGAGTCGGAAGTTTAGCGCGAGGAGTATCGTATTGGCCCGTTTCCAAGAAGGGTTCGAGAGCAGGCGCTTTGGAAGTGCCGACAGATAATGCGCCAAATCAAAATATCACATTGGGCGACTTCGCTCGTCGATAGCCGGATCGATTCACAGTTCGAACTCATCAGAAACATAGATCACCGCTATGAATCGAACTACGACCCTGGCGCCCATTTTTGTTTTACACACTCAACATTTCTTTTTTCACGCTACTGTTCGGAAGACAAGAAATAATTATCATGCAGCTCCCCGCGTTAAAAGATCAGCCGTAAGGAAATAAACACGAGAATCAACCGATTCTGAAGGAATCCTGCGAACATTTCATGGCACACGTACTTAGATGCCCTCACGCAAACAGTTCACAATTTGTTTGTTCATACGATGGACCTCAGAGGATGCCACAAGACATGAAGGCCAATCCCAGGCCGCGTGAGAGTCACTTGGCCTCGTAAGGGGTGCTTTGACGTGCGGGGCGCACAGTCACCTGATACTTTCACAACTCTGGATTGGCTGGGGTGGCTCTCAGCGTCAGCTCCGGTCCACCGTAACGTGAAAGGGAGTAAAGAGAGAGAGAGCGGCGAGGATTGTCGAGTCCCTCCGTCCCCAAAATCGAAAATCGATCTGGGCCGTTTCGATCTAGTCCGACCGCGGGAGAAAAAAAAAAGAAATTGCTCGGCAAGTTTACGCGGAGGCGCCCCTGGCCTGCGAACGGGGTCCGATACGTTCGAAAACGTTGTTATACGCCAGGGTCCGGTGGGAAAAGCAGTGCTAAGGCGAAACGGCGCGGATTCAGCGCGAACGAGAAGTGACGTAGGGTGTCGTCCCTAATTTGCGCAACACTGCAACGCTCCGCCGCCGCAGAGATGTGCGCAGCCGGCTAGCCCTTGTTTCGTGCCCAGCCACCGCGAAACTTTATCTTTGCCAGATTTCGTTCAATGTATATCCGAGGGTTCGGGACGAAAAAGAACGATTTTACCGGAGCTGTCGCCTGTGGTTAGGTTCGCTCGATGGCGAAAGAAGAGGAAAGGCTTTTGTATGGACTAGAGAAACCTCTAGGATGTTTCAAGGCGAGACTTCGGGCTTTCGCAACTGGGCCGGCGGGGCCAGAGAAGTTAGATGTTTCTCAACGAATCTAACTGGACGAAAAAAAATGTAAGACGATATGTGTATCTCTCACAAATTCGTGATCATCTTTATTTGTGATGATTGTGGCGCTCTTTCGTCCCAGAAATATTAGACTAGCTTTATGACCCTTTTCAGTAGGTATTCAAATTGATATATTTCCTTCACGTTTCCTTTATTTTTAATTCTGATCCTGCAATCGTGTACGTTTTCTCGTTGGTCAAACAATACCTTTAATCGAAGGGAGGCATCCTAGATTTTTCTCAGGACGGAAATATACACCACCAAACCCAACGGAAGAGAGCGTGCGTCCACAGAATAGGATAGCGCCTCGTTTGCGGGAACACTGATTTGTTGGCTATCTTTACTCTCTCTACTTTGTTCTTTCTTCCTTTATTGGAAACGCGTTGCGATTGACTACTGGTTATTCTATTTGCAATCTCCCTTCATTTCTAAATGTACAAGAGCATTGCCTCCACTGAAGGCGTGAAGAGGTGTCAGAGATATTACTCACCATATCCTTTCGAGGAACGTGCGTACATTATATCTTCAATATTCTGCGAAATAAACAATATAGCACGCGACAGAAAAGGATTTGGGGATTCAACTTCAATTCGAATACACTTTTTTGTATATAACGCAGACAATTGGGGTGCGGGGACATGTAAAAAAAAAGTGCAATAATGCAGCTTGACTTGGACCTTTCGACCTACATTTTGAAACTTGATGGCCAGGAAACTTAGCGATGCATTCTCAACGCGAATTATTAATGTATAAACGAAGAATAATACACATTGAGAGAAAAAAATGGCCGCCACAGTAGTCTGTTTGCAAGCTTGATCTGAACGCGTTGCCCGTTTAAAATATTCAATTGTGGGGGTACTGTGTACTGAAGCTCTCTGCAGCCGGCGGCTTGTTCTAGGACGTGGCACTGCCCAGACCGTGGCACTGAGCACTCCGAATTCAGTATTATTTTTTTCCGATTTGGCTAATAGCACGTTGCGACAGATTACTTGTTAATTTAACGCATCCCTTATATATTGCGGCAAGTTTATATTTCTAATATTGTCTTTTATGACTTTATGCTTATTAAATATAGCTTCTGCGTGCGAGTAAAATAATGCATTAATAGTTCCACAAACAACGTGACAACGACATAACCGAGAATTTAATTTTGACTCATAATTTAAGAGTTTTACATTGGGTGGTAACACGCATGTCATTACCGACTTGAAGAGAGCACCTGTGATGCTCAAGAATTTTATTGGAAGGTTTAAAATGCGAGATAACGTGTGCACATAGAATGCCACCCTAATGTTTTCACACTAGTGACGGATTAAATTTCAGAAGCTTTTACTGTTAATCAGCAGTGGATGGTTCTAAGGAGTCGCCACCTCGCTTCAGGTGCCGCTATAAAGGGTTGTAAATACGGTATTTCATCAATCTCTGCCGCCTGCCGAGCTGCAATGTGCGTTCAAATCGTGGGAACACAATAACAGTGTGCCTGCGCCGGTGAAGCGGGGAAACACAGAATAATGAACCTCGTCCTCGCATTGTTGCGAAAAATCGAAGAAAAAATTTAAGATATGACATCTGAATTGAAAGCACTCAAGTGTTTTTTGTCTTTTTTTTTTTTGGGGGGGGGGGGGGGGGGGCATTTCTTTGACAAGAAAGAAGTAACGAACGCTGCCAACGAATGCCTTATTTCTGGATTTGAACACGCCAGGGGTGTTTCAGCAATCGCCACCTCGGCGGGCATGAGATACTCACGTGCTGATATTTAAGTTTTCCCTGTGCTGAGAGACACCCCCTAACGTGGGATTTTTGAGTATTGAACATGTGGGAAGCGCGTGTGAAACGTTAATATTATTACTTTGGGATTTCCTTAAATACAAGGCAGGTGACAACTTCCAGTTTTTTTTTTGTTTTTTTTTTTGTGACAATTCGTTACGAGCGCCACGACACGCAACGCTGCGGTAACCCTGACTGCCCCCGCACGACGCACAAACGGGTAACTTCTATGCACGCTTGATTGCTGAAAGCAAGTATGAATTTGTGACACAGAAGGCTAAATATGATAACCATCGTAGGCTTGGTAAAGTGGAGCAAAATTTTCAATTTAATCGAGACTTCAGTACTTATTTAATAATACAATATATTATTTATCTTTTAGTGCAGTAGCGCGAATTATGGCAATTTTCTTATGTATTTACATTTTTCTTTCCCTCGTCTTTCTCGAAGCCTTGAGATAGCTTCCTGGCCTCATTAAAATGTCTTCACATTTTTTTAGCATAACTTACATTATTGCATGTGGTAGAAAAAGTAATCTTCGAAAGCTTAAAACTTAAAAAAAAAATATTATTGAGCTGCCCAACCAGTGTCTTCTTTAAGGTTCCGCTCATACTTTCTTGAAAGTTTCCGGTGATATATCGATTTTTGAGTACATACGGATTTGAACTGCAACAAGAAAAAATCTAACTCACTAAAAAGAATCAGCATGATGTTTGTTAAACCGGGCTGTGCAAGCACAAAAAAAAAAAAAGACAAGACCGCATTATTTTTTGAGTTACAACGGGCGACACAAAAAACCGAGATAGAAACCCAAACATCGGTGCACCTAAGCGTCCGCTGGCGGCCTGTCAGGCCGGCAAACGCCGACCGGCACACGCACAAACAGCTGCGGCGCGCGGCGCCCGCACGAAAGACTGTGAGTGTCTTTTTATAAAGCCTCGGCACAATTTCTGCAGACGTCCCGCAAAAGATTGGGCTTTCGATCCGGCCGTCGCGACACAATGGAGCCCCGCTCGGACGTCTGAGGAGGAGCGGTCCTCAGTTTACGACGGGCAACATCGATTGGGGAGCACTCATCGCGGTTCGGGCTTTCCATATGCCATTAAACCTGCATGAGGCACCGTCTGCTATCGAGGACCCCGACCAAGAATGGATGCTCGATCCTTGTGGCTGTACGCGTGCGTTTGTGCGTGTGTGTGCACCAACTCTTGAGACAGCGGGGGGCGCGGTCCCGGCAATTGAACGGCACCTGCGAGCTTGCTCGGCCGCAATATTGAAGGACGGCGGCGCATTCTTTGCGAGGTGGCTGTGCAGGAAGGCAGGCAGGCTATCTGGTTAAAGGCCCAAGAAAGCCCGGCTGGTCATGGCGGAATTCGGCATCCGACGGGGATCGCCTCTTAAGCGCTGCCTAATCGGAGGAGCCGAGGTGGGTAGCTAGGATCCTTCGGAAGTTCGTGGATGATTCGAGAAGATTGGAGGTGAAGGTGCGTTGATGAGTGAGCTTATTCTTCAAGACGTGCCGCCTCAGATGTGCCTCGACGACTATGACAAATCTGGAACATGACGAAGCTTTTGGTCAACCAGGCAGCGAGCGCCTAAAAGCTTGGCATGCTGTAGACGGCGAGAGGTTGGGCTGATTTCATTTGTAAATATGTTTAATGCTGCGTTACTTTTTCAACTTAAGAAACATATGTGTGTTCCATACGATGCATCTGGCTTTGACTTGCACTTGTGAGAGACACTGTAGAAGAGGAAATTGTTTCCCTACTTCGGACAGCACTAAAACTGGGGGGGGGGGGGGGGGGGGGGGG